GTCTTATAGAGTGTATTGTGCGAAAGACTGAAGCCCACCGGCAAAGAAATGATTGGACCTTATAAGTGTGGCTTTAGGCGTGGAAAATCCACCATAGATCAGGTATTCACAATACGCCAAATCTTGGAAAAGACCCGCGGGAAAAGGATCGACACTCACCACCTATTTGTCGACTTAAAAGCCGCTTTTGACAGCACTAAAAGGAGTTGCCTATACGCCGCGATCTCTGAATTTGGCATCCCCTCAAAACTCATACGGCTCTGTAAAATGACGTTGAGCAATACCACCAGCTCCGTCAGAATTGGGGAAGACCTCTCCGAGCCGTTCGCCGCAAAACGGGGTTTCAGACAGGGTGACTCCCTTTCATGTGACTTCTTTAATCTGATGTTGGAGAAGGTAATAAGAGCTGCAGAACTGAACCGCTCAGGAACAATTTACTACAAGAGCGTGCAGTTGCTGGCTTATGCCGATGCCATCGACATCATCGGTAACAAAAACCGCGAAGTCTGTTCTGCCTTTTCCAAGTTGGATAGGGAAGCAAAGCGAATGGGTCTGGTGGTAAACGAGGACAAGACGAAGTATCTCCTGTCGTCTAACAAACAGTCAGCACATTCGCGCCTTGGCACCCTCGTCACTGTTGACAGTTACAATTTCGAGAAAGTAGAGAATTTCGTTTACTTGGGAACCAGCATTAACACCGATGACAGTCTTTTAGTAAAGGTGAGGTATACATGTACCTATCGCACACGTTCGTCAAAGCATATCAACTAAAAATTCCGTTTGTTACTGTGGATTTTTTCAACAAATTACAATAAAATTTTCCTAACGCCTTTGCTGTGAACATTTTTACCTCGCTTTTATTAGCTCAGGGAGTAACTATTAGTTCGTTCCAGTACTCTTCGGACTAAAACCTGTGGAAATGTCAAACTACGATTTTACCCTTTCAAGTGAGAGTAACAGGAGAACAGATGCAGGAGTGTACGGGAACGCAAAAAGCACTTTTTCCAGCATAAACGTCATTTGGTTTGTTTACTTGTCATTAGTACAAGACTGATATGGCTGAAAGATGACTAACAGGTCTATTCTGCACGTTACCGAAGATTTTGTAACCGGAAATTTTTATTACCAAAAAATTGTACCAGTTCTTGTCACCGCGATTCTAGGAACGTTGGTAATGCAGTTAAAATATTCAGCAATTCAGCTATGAAGAATTGTGCAAATTCTGGCATTGCATATTTCACGGGGCAATACTTTGTTACCAGCTTATGAGATGGTAACAAAATTTACCGGTTACAAGAGTACACAGAATGCGAAAAGGGGTAAAAAATTGACAGAAACTTTATTTACCGGTTACAAACTTTTTATTACCAGCGCAGAATAGGCCTGTAAATAACTATTAAAATCTATAAAATTAATAATAATTGCATATATATTCGAATATTTCATTGTTTACTTCCATTTTTTAACAAATGTAAGGTTATTTGCTTTCATCGCGTTTTGTTTTTGTACACAAATGCAACTCTATCTATCATCTGACACTTTTCATGAATTTGCCAGAAGAAAAACTTCGGACTAAATCTTGAAACTTCATTCTGGGAATAGTTGCTCAATTACTCTCACAAGTGTGTTCCCAGATACAGAATTTTTGGCGTACGGGAACGACTTTGGACTAAATCCTGCAAAACCTGCAAATCGTAGACGTGCTGGAACGCACTATATGTAATATTGATGCGCCTAAAAGATGCAGCGATTTCCATTCTCAAGTTACATACCTGATGACAGTACGAATGGAAATTTTAATAGCGAGGTTTTAGTTTTTTAAACTATAATTTTAATAGCTCATAAAATCAAAAAGTCGTGTTTTTAACCTATACGCTTTTATTTATTAACTGAACGTGTTCAATATTTACAGCTAATTTTATAATTCGCAGCAAAAACTTAGCAATATTTTGAATTTGTTCTATTAAGCTGGGATTACATATTTTTATTTACATACATATATATACATACCCAACGGGACTGAAAGTTAGCTGCTCCCCAAAGGAGCAAGTATGGAGCAGTACAAGCAAAAAATAAATAAATAAAAATAAATTAAATACTGCTCCATACTTGCTCCTTTGGAGAGCAGCTAACTTAGTTTCACTTTGAAATTTTTTGACATAAGCTGTGCTTATGACGTTTATACTTTTCGTAAATTGCTCGAGTATCACTGCCACCTCAACAAATTATTGTTTTGGAAATTTTATTATTTTTTAAAGGAATTTTTTATGCATTAAAAAATAACAACACGCAAGGTAATTTACTTAATTCATCGTATTAGCATAGGTGTTAATAAGTGTGTATTAATTTAAAATACCATAAATTACCTTACCGCAAAAAAATGTGGCATTATATGCTGTGTTCCATGAGATATTATTATAGATATTAGGATGTTGCCTTAATTTGGGACCTTTTTAGAGGACATATGAACAAAGGAATAGTTAAAAAGTAGCTTATCGTCAATGAAAGCACTATGGAAGCATAAACTTAGAGGGAGGTAAAAAACTTTACAAATTCTTAGAGCTCCTTATTATAGTTTATAGACAGATAAACTACTCGCTCTACCGCTGCTGGTGCAACCTTTCGCTTAGATTGGGCACATCCGTCACGAGGCTGAAAATTTTCCACCGAAAAGTGGTTGGAACAAGCAAACAACACCTTGGTGAAGTTACCATGCACGTGGCCATCCCGAAATATGCAGCTAATCGTACTAAATAATGATGAAAATAATTGCATAAACAAATATATTATTTATGTGCATTACGCAATGTAATAGGAGTATTTTACTTGTCATCCATTTTATAATTAATTTTAGAAATAAACCACTAAAAGGTCGTTATAAAATGATGCTCAAAATATATTCCTTGAAATAATTTTTGAAATAATTTCTGAAGTAAAAAAAAAACACTTTTTAGTTTCTTCAAAGAATATGGTGGCTTCAATTTAAAAGAAAACGTCAAAAGCACAGTTTACGTCAGATGGGAGCAATGGCGGATACGAAGAAGAAGTGGAACTACCTTTAAATATTTGTATCATGGTCACCACCAATACTAAGGTCCTATTTAAAATTTTGAAATTTTATAGAAAGTGCTTAAGGTGCTGTTCTAATGATTCCATTAAAACTCGAATTTTCCCAGATATGAATATGAATTATGTTGAGGGTATCTGATAGAAAACTAACAGAATACATATCGTCACTACACACGAATAAAGGCGCGAGCTCAAAAGTTGACCGTGAAAAAAGGCGCATGAAAGAACTTCAGCGAAGAAAGACTCTTAACATAGTTGACGGCGAAGAAAGACGCGTTAAAATATTTGACGGCGAAGAAGGACGCGTAAACTTAGTTTCGCGGTCAACTATGTTTGCGGGTGTAATAGTATGTACATTCCGTAAATAGTTTTTGGGGAATAATGCTGAAGTGACAGTCCTTGGCCAAGTATAAATATTACGCGTCTTTCTTCGCCGACAACTAGATTACGCGGCTCTCTTCGCCGAAGTTTTTCTTAAGCACCTTTTTTCGTAAATTTCATTTTATGCGTCTTTTTCCGCCGTCGAAACACTAGCGCGCCTTTATTCGTGTCTAGTGACGATATGTTAAAAAAATATTTTCGAAAAAATGAGTAAATGCCAATTTCATTTATGGTGGGGATATGGACATACATATATTGTTACCTTAATATCGAAAGAAGTGTTTAAAAACTGACTAAAGTCTTAAGTTATTTACAGCCGCACTCAGAGTCGTTTAATGATTACTTAAGGTGTCCCACAGTAACATTTGAAAAAATTCCCTCTCAGAGTCAGTTAATGATTCGTTAACGACATTTAATGAACATTAAAGTTAAGTAAACAAAAACCTTTACTTAACTTTTTATCGAATGATTTTGAAATTTTTTGTTTATTTTCAATAAATTTCAATTTCGATAACATTGCAATGGCCTAGTGAGCAGAGCACTTTCTTGCCATTCAAGAGATCCGAATTCAATCCTCGGCAACGAATTTTTTTTAATACAATTTTTTTTTTAAGTTTTATTGCTTAAAAACTCATATTTTTTATTTTATTTAACGTTTTTCCTGTTTTTCATTTCGTTTAGTTTTTAGAAAACTTATTGCTAAGCGGTAAATATAATAACACTATTAGCACATCTGTCAGTTAGTTATTCGAAATACAGAAAAGGGCTTTCAAGATAATTTCCGAAATATAAAGACTTTTGTCTCTCGAAAGACTGAGGTGAGTTGAAAGACAGATGCCAGAATTGGCCGATTGGTCTTGTTTGTCTTTTAGCAAACAATTTAATTAAATTAAAAAAAAAAAAAAAAGTTTTCTTTTTAAAGCAATAAACTCTAGACCGAAAAAAAAATTAGATCAAAAAAGCTACAACACAGATAGTTTCTAAAATTAAATAGGAAAAAAATAATAATTAAAAAGGGAAAAAGAAAATTTTCTTGCCCTAGAACCCGAACTCGGATCTCTCGTATGGCACGCCACTGCTCTGCTCACTCAGCCATTTCGTCTGTTGAGCCGGTGCTCTCAAAATGATATAAATACTTATTTTTATATTTTATTTCAGACTGAACGAAATAAGTGAGTGATGCCACAAAAATGAAGGGCCGCAACTGGGGCCATACTTAATTTTTTTATTTCATAATTTTTAACTCTGAGAGGAAACATTAATTAACAGATTTAACGATCATTAGTTAAATGCCCGTTAGAGCTAATTTAAGGAACTTTTCTGAGTGCGGCTGTTAGTCTTGAATTTCATCGCGACTTCCTTTTTATTGAAGTCTTTAATTAATTAAATGCTGTAAAAGTTATTTTCAAAATCTATCGAGTTTGTAGAGTGTAATTGTGTTTGTACTAAGTTTAATTTTTAAATAAATTGAGTTAGAACCTTTTTCTATATTAAGGCAGCGATACCTAAATACAACATACTTATGTTATAAATATATTAAATTCTTTGCAGAGTGAGTACCTATTAACGTTATTTAACAGCTGCAATTATGGGAATACCTGCTGGTGATGTTGAAAAAGGCAAGAAACTCTTCGTCCAACGTTGTGCTCAGTGCCATACTGTTGAAGCTGGTGGCAAGCACAAGGTCGGTCCCAACCTACACGGTCTGATCGGTCGTAAAACTGGTCAAGCTGCTGGTTTCGCTTACACCGACGCCAACAAAGCGAAAGGCATTACCTGGAATGAAGATACCCTCTTCGAATACTTGGAGAATCCCAAGAAGTACATCCCAGGCACAAAGATGATCTTCGCCGGTCTGAAAAAGCCCAATGAACGTTCCGACCTTATTGCTTACCTGAAATCGGCTACCAAATAAAAAACATAAACCATTAGCAGTTAAAAAAGCATAAACAAGAAAATATGAAAATCTTTTACATGTGGCTCTAATGAAACCTACTGTAACAAATGTTTTAAAAAGGAACCCCCATAACTCTACAAGAGAAAATATACACTTATTAGTTTAAAAATTAACTATTCTATATAGGACAATTTAATTAATTTAATTGTGTAAATGATATTCAATCAAACTTTTCGTTTGTTGCTAGCTTCAATATTTTTAAGAAATTAAATAATTTCAGCTCGGATGGAAAAGATACAATTAAACCATAAAAATGATAGACCTAGTTTTTTATTTCCTTTTTTCATGTCTAATTAAACCTGCGTTGTGTGAAGAATTTTTAGTCGGTCGTTAGAGTATTAGTCTCCCAGGTGACTACGTGCAAAATGTATGAAAATCCCATGATCTGCAAGAGAATATGCACAAAAATTAAAGCGAGACTTACAGGAACGGCAAAATGCAAAGGTATATAAACAGTAGGAAAGGGAAGTGACCATCGTTGTAACCAGGTAGGGGCAGGGGG